TTCCACGTGGGGAAACCCCGTAGACTATCTGTATTAAGCATAAATTTTAAATAGTCATAACAAAATGTCATTGTAGTGCATTAGCTTACATAGTATGTTACCTAAAGTGTATACTGATCAATTAATAGGTATCGCGCAAGGCGCGGTCCCCATTGCCACTAAAATCAGGACTCCCAGAGTTACAGTTATTGCTCTTTTACAGCCCTTTCAAACTTTATTACGGTTCCAAATTCCACCTCTGCGCGCACCCAGACTGTAGCGTGGTGTTGCGTTGTTCTTAGCTAAATACTGTTTGTTGCGTTATCGTGTTTTAACGATTCGGATGTTGGAAGTTGGCAAACAGTTTTTGTTGTAAATGGTTTCGTTTTTGTATGTTATAATAATCATTAACGTCAATAATAATGTAATAATAATAATGTAATAATCATTAACTGTCCACTGCTGAACAAAGCCCCCTCCCACTTGGGAAGTTTTGTTCGTAGTTGCTTGTGAACCCGCTATCTTCTCTATCTGTTTATCTTCCACAAATTTATATTCTTTTGTCTGATATGCTTCAGATACCTATTGTAATATCGGACATCCCTGATCATGTACTTTGGTGCGTATCGTACTGGTATACTGCAAATATAACTGGCTACTAGTAATTTCGTGAAATATAATTGACCAGTAATAAAAAGGAATCTCTTTGTTTTTTTATTCTGTCTTTTGTTATTATTAAGAAAAAAAAAATCCTGTTCTGCACTAAATTATATTCTCCCTCTTTTTTTAATGAAACCATATATTTTTTAATGTATCTCCAAGCGAATTTCATGAAGATATCGTCATATAAATAATTGAACTCGAAAACTGCCGCGTGTGGTGTTTACCTCTTTCACAAGAAACTGGTTCCATATCCTGTAGCCGGTCGCCTTCATCAGTTTAGTTGCAGTGTGTGCTATTTTTTTATAGTACGCTGGATTGGATTACAGGCCAGTAAGTACCATTGTTGGTATTTGTTGTCCTGTCATCAAAAGAAAAACACTCCTAAAAGTTCGGTTAAGTCCCCGCATAGAGTGGCTATTTACATGCCGCTCCATCAGTTGCCACGCTTGCCAGGCGGGTTTTTTTAGAGGTGATAATGAAATAGTAACTCCACCCACGCTATCGGTATACACCGGCGGGGCACCAGTGAAGGATGATAGATGAGGATGAAACAGGTAAGTTAGCCCATCGTGACGAATTCAACGAGAATTGTTTACGATAGTTTCCAGTGGGAACCACGTGGCATATTGCTAGCAATGGGGCTGTCAAACTCCATTGCTAACAATCCCTTCCCCCCTACCAGGCGGGTTAGCAACCGCAGTTAGGCTTTGTAGTAATAATCCTTACTAATATTATTAATATATAATTATTAATACGAAAGTGGGTTTGTTTATAACATCTTCATCTTTTAACGGCTCTCTCAATTGTCATTAAAATTAGTCTACGTAGTATTTGTGATAAAAATATATGTTAATATGTTAATTAACATATATTTTTAATAGATATATGTTAATTCTTATTCAAGCCAATCATCATATTCCAATCATGTGGACGAAGTCGGGGATAAAAAAACAGTGTAAATAAAAGTAAAAAACGCCGTTCATTGGTAGGGACGCTACTTGAGAACAGCTGAATCAATTTGGCTGTTTTTATTAAATGTTTGTATAAATCCGAATAAAGTTTTTAGCACAGTGAAATATTGAATTTGGACGTCGTCAGTATACATAGTTTATTGTAAATGGTAAATAAATTTTCACATACACATATTTATTCACAAATTAAAATTCAAATTATCGTCCATACAATAAGCATCCAAGGTACGTTATTAATATTGATAGTGACGTGATCCGCTTTGCTCGATATACGGCACTACACTAATCCCATAGCCCGTCAGAGGCCAGAGAAATTGCATTAATCAATTGTCAAACTGCGCGCATATTGCCTAATATATCTTCAGTATTATCTAGTTACATGCGGTATGGTGTCATTGGATAGGCAGAGCTGCCACTTGAACCGCTTGCTCTCGCTTTGTCCCGGTTTACAGGTAGAACGTGTGGATATATTGTACCTGTTATGTATTTACAATAATAATTAAATATTTATTAAGATAAAATGATCTTAGAATTGTTTTGACTATATTAACTCCTCTTGATGTATAATGAAGAAAAAACCACATCTTCCCTCTCACTCACTCACTTTTTGTATGGAGATGTATTAGTATGAATTTTCAAATATTTTCTATTATCTTTTCCTGACAATTACAAGCACAACAAAAAAAAAACAATAAGACTTGTGAATGCAGCCATTCTGAAGTGATACGCTTACATACATCCGGCAATTTATTAATTTTATATAGATAGACAAGAGGTGATAATAAAATAAAAATCCCACTGTTCACTCAGCTTTTCAAAAGTTTAGCACACTCTCATAGTTGCAACGAATTTAATCATATCTCGTTCATTAAAATTTATTTAACCTTTTACGGCACATTTTTTAAAGATCCGAATTTAATAAGTTACTAGAAAAAAAACTTCAACAGTTGGGTAAAAATAAATAAAATCAATAAAAATACTTGTGGACAGTTGGTTTCAATATTACTTACGATACTTTATATATATACGTATACAGACGTACATATATATTTTCTGCTAATATGTTATTGTGTTAGTATATTATTATATTATCAACAATAGTCGCTATATATGGAGAATTCCGACAAACACTATTGTTTTTGTTTTCGAATAACGATTGTTACTAATTTTGAACTAGATAAAACATTTGAAATTCAAGATTTCAATTGTAATGTTTATACATCTAGAATAATATGTAGGTATAAGTTATGAATTCGCCTACTACGTGTAGACAGCGTTAAGGCTTGAGAATAGGTTGTAGATATGTAAATAATCTGTGTAATTAAAAATGAATTGTTAAATATATTGCTAATCATAAAACTCGAGTTTGGCTGGACTAAATCGACTAATATTTTTCAAATAATCGTTGAAATTCAGAAAAAGTTTTTATAGACTCCTATTTCATTTGTGTCATTGCCAACATTAAAAAAAATCTAATCAAATAACTAGTGATGTGACATCTGCAAAATAACACATAGTTCAGTAAAATCTAAGCATCTCTTAGACAAGTGACAGATGCTGTCAAATTCACTTTTGGCATAACATAATGTCGCCAATTTGAGAATAGGCAATATTTGTGCATAGGTCTATTGAAGAGATTCGGCTTAATATTATATTAAAATCTTTTTAAACGCTTTAATAGAGTGTCAAACATAAATTACCTTAATAAGAGGGGTTAAAGCACGGGACCGATGTTTTTATTCCAAATGGTAACCTTATTTAAAAAAAAATTGGTCCATATGGAATTTTTGTTTATTTTTGATCCAAATAGTGAGCTGTTCATTCGTCATTTATATGTATAATTCACATTTGCTCATCTCTATTTGCCGTATATACGATCACGTTATAAGATGTGACATAACTTGGTCTACAAAAAGTATAACCACACTGGCTATAGCGTGATACCTTTTAATATTAACGGCATGGGACGATCGATATGCCGGCCGCTCTTTAGTTTACGGCCACCGTAAAAACTAACAGCTTGCCGGTGGCTGGATTACGTGCGGCCCATTGCGCCGCGGACAGTGTGTACGCCTCGGCGACCCGTGTCGTGTCGCGTAGCACTTACGTAGCAGTCGTTCGTCCGACAGAAATTGTCGAGTTGAGCCAGTGATTCATTTAGCAGATGAATCACAGGTGGTGTGTTGACCCACTTTTATTGAGAAAAGTTTATTTGTGTTTCTGTACATGTATATAAGTAATGTCTATAAATAAAAAATCTATTGTTAGTAAATTACTTGAGGACTATGATTTGGCATTTCTTTTTCTTGATTATAAAAAAAAGTAATTAATTTATTTTATTAATGCAAAAAGACACACCAAGAAGGTTTATAACGAGTAAAATAAAAAAAATTATAACCTCTACGTAATATTTTAATCACGTTTCTTCATATAGCAGTTCCATTAGACACGGATGTAATATAAGGCACATAAACTGCTTCATGCAATACGCGCTAAAATGCCCTGTTCATTGCATTCAAATTAAAATGTGACTCGATCAAGCGGTATTAGAATGTCGCCTTTTGTTGGCATGATATTATTTTTTTTAGAAAAATATAGCATAGCTTAATTTAGATTTTTACTGTTAATAAATAATAGAAGAGGCAAAGTATATATAAAAAAATAGGTTATAAAATAAATAGTTATAATATATGGGGGTAAGAAGATGACGATGATGATAGTAAATATAGAAAATTGTTTGTTAATAAACATAGGCCATTTAGATTTTACTCTTTCTTTAATTTCCGAACACGCCATTACACTATCAATTTTATTTCTACTTTAGACTTCACTTGCAGTGTTTAATAATATTAGTATTAGAATAAACTATTTCTTTTCGCAACCGAAGCATGACTTAACGTATTTGATCTCAAACGAAAACTAAACATTCGGCATAGTTACATGTAGGTGGTGGCTGGGCCGGCGTCCCTGCTAGTCGGCTATCAATCTTTTCGCCACATCATTTGCTCCCCGCGCCGCCTTGCCGCGATTGAATTTCATTAACGAAACGCTTAGTGCAGATTGAATCCATTTAAGTAACAGACCTGCCCTTCTAAATGTTCCTGTATGTAGTAATTGTAATGTATACGCTCAGAGTGCTGGAATTTTCAATTTTAGATCTACTATAGCTCGATTAAGGTTGTTGTGGCCTTAACAAATATTTATCCGCGTTGTCTGTGATTAGATATGTATTTCTGCTGTTTTTATTGAAAATATTTTCAGGAGTTACTCAGTCTTTTTTTAACATGTTTCGAATACAATAATACGTAATTCAGAATTTCAGATACATTGTTTATTTTGTAAATAACAATTTAATTAAATTGTATTGATTGCTTATTTCTTTTTCAGACTGTTTCCATATCGATGCTCTTGCGGTATGCTCATCATCAGATCTTCGTATTTATAGGTGAGTATAATTATTATAAAGTGTAGTTTATTCTATTCTATAGTTTGTGGAAAAGAATTATTGTGGCATTTGAAGATTGACTTAATTTTGATTTAACGGTTTCATAATATAATATATTGCGATGATAGTTAACTTGCCTGATAATAAAAAGCGACCACAGAACAGCCTATGAATGCTGGCAACATAAGATGCGAGTGCATCCTTCAAACTGAAACTCACTATGCGAGAAGCTGCTTGAGGGCAAAATATGAGTGATATTGAAATACGTGTAGTATCCTTGTAAACATAATCACCTTCACACAACTATAACGAGTTCTCGGAAAAATGATAAATATATGAAAATTAAAATCCTCTAAGGGCTTGTTTCATAGGCTACTGTTCAAATCTACAATGTCTATGTAATCTATATAAATAAAAATGAAATACATTAATTATATACAAATATTCATTTGTAGGTGCATTATTTCATATTGAGTAGATAATTTTTTTCATTCTTAATATACCGTTTAAAGTTTTTAAGGAAATAATATCTATTGGTTCTGGTAATGGATATGTGAAGTGTACGCCAGATCTGTCATTTTATTAAGAGGTCATCAGTTATTGTGTATATAATGTAGAAGTTTTCTGTAAGTCTTCTTATATACTTTCGTCTAAAGGATAGAAAAAACAATATAATCTTTGATACAAGACATTAATTAGACTCTGTGGCAATGCATGAGTATTTATAGGCATCCGTGACATCCTATCAAGTGGGTCCTTTATTGACTGTAAATGAGCTGTTGATCTATTAGCCATGGATTAACGCCACTTATAATACCATTTTGGTATACGCGCGAGTTGTTACCTGTGAAGAATGTGTCTCCTTTTCTTAAAAGATCTCCGAAAATTTTCCTGTTAAGCTCTCGTAAGAAGCTGTTACAGCTGTCATGTTGGTGTTATTATAAACCTGTGAAACAGACCCTTTTAAAAGTAAAATTGGCGTTATATTAACGCGTAATGTTGCGAGAAACCATTTCTTAGATTTTTTTGTAAGGAGCGGACATAAACAGTGCAATTATGTGCTGTCGAAATGAATTCAGTAAAAATCTCGAGTCGTGAGCCGGCTCAGCGGCAATCTCTTTGTAATAACAATAATTGCGAATAGAGCCCGCGGCATCACCCCGCCTTCGTTGCTGCTCAAAAATAAAAAAAATAAAATATATGAAAATACAATGGTTGGGATTTGTCTAGCGCGCTCTCCCTCTCTCTTTGATCCGTCGACAATTAGCCAGATAGAGATAATTTGTTTCTTGTTCTGTTTGCTCTTTGCGCCACTTGGCTTAGTATTTCAATACGATGATTGCTTTCAATTTTTTCCAATTTCTATTTCGTTGAAATAAAAAAAATTAAATTCGTTCGCGGTATGCTGGATTACCTACTTGTATTTACGCGTCTTGATACAACTCTTTTTACAATATAAGTTTCATTAAAATTAAAATGTAGAAATGTTCAATATGAAGTCGAAATATGAAAATATGAGTAGTTTATAAATATTAAATTATTCATGTTAGTATGTGTATATTATTTAGGGATATTGTTTAAATATATACAGTTTAACACGCTATACGTTTTTAATGTCGGCAACAGACTAACAATCCTCATTGTACAAGTAGGTACACAATTACAATTATATTACATATTAGTGATGTACCCACAAACATCACAATGTGGCTGGTTTGAAATGTTCAAAAATTACTTTGAATCTTCAAATATGTTCCTTGGTATGGTTGGTTGGTATGGTTCCGTAGTACAATTTCGTGAATGGAATTAAAAGGCCGGCAGCACACCTGCAATGCCTTTAGTGTGCTCTTGGGCGGCGGTAGTCACTTTCTCGTTTGCCTCTTTTGTCATAAAATAAAACTATTAGTGGGTTTCTATTCGGCATGCCTATTGTTATTAATTCTGTATAAAAATTTTCTCTGTGTAAAAGTAACTGGAGCTCATAAATTAATTTTAAAATTATTTAGAAAGAAGAAGGTCACTAATTCTATTTATTCCTTTGTCACATGCTCTACTGAAATCGATTTTGTATTTTTATACATAAATTTCACTAATTTATTGACAATTTATATTAGTAAAAACCATATTGTTACCAAAATTGCACCTGAACAAGGTATTATATCTAGTATACCACTGTATTTGAGTTGGCGGATCATAGAATTGATCAAGACTAAATTTTCTGTTACAATTCTTATTATACGCATTTGAAAGGAACCCTATAAATAAAATAAGATTTATATCTAAAGGGGCTCTTGAGTTTGTAGAATAAACTATTCAACTCACAATATCGGATAAGGGTAAATCTGTTCAATGGATCCAGTTGGTCTCTATGACGACTCATCCTTACCTATTTGGAGATGGCTCAAAAATGTACCCACCTAACGTCCAAACAGCTAAAGGGCCGGAAAATTCCGCGTAATCTCACGTTGTGATTGTTGATTAGGTCCGAGCCGATTTACGTTGTATATCTGAATGGTTGTAGTGTGAATTTATACTGTAGGCAATGTGTAGTTATACATCTGTTATGTAGTGTAATGCATGTATGAGATGAGATATGAAAGTGATTGAAGCAAAAGATATAAGGATAGATAGGTGCCTCGGTTGTTTCTAACCTGATTTTCTAACCTGTATGGGATTTTGGTTTGAAAATATACATATATATTATATAGCGTGATTATTACATTTAATATCGCTTAATGTAGTGTCACTAAATTATATTACAATGAAATTTACCAGTAGTAGTGACTGGCATGGCAATACAATTAATTTTCTAATATTACTGATGTTATAAAAGTGCAAGTTAAAAAATATATTAATGTTTTCTTCGCAATTACACTTGAACGGAAGACAGCTGAATGATAGAGAGTTTAGTGTACTGGCGGTATAACAAATTTTGAATTACTGTAGCCTATAATTGTATACTTTTTATGTGCAATCATTATTTCATAATTTTAGTCGTTAACTGTCCGCTGCTTATAGAAATGTTTTAAGAGGAACGCTACTGTCCATCCCTCTACCATTAAGTTTCTTTACTCGCCTCTTATGACACTCACAAGAAAGAAAGTGGTGGCTTTTCTATGCCGGGATCACACGACCACTAAAAAAGCTCTAAAAAAGCTTTAAAGAAGGCAAATGTAGTTAACGATATATCTTATGTTAAAAGTATTTGCCAATAAGAAATTGTAAAATTTTATTTATTTGATTTACCCAAAGTACTGGTACTATATTATTAAATAATACTTATAGTTATAATGGTTATATTGCTCATATATACAATTGTACATTAATATGTAAATCTATATTGGAAAACGCCTTATGTTTCTGCATTGCCTGATACATCTGCGTACAGGTCTATGTCGTTTTACAAAGACTGCCTAGAGATAGTTCTGTGATAGATCACTCCTGTGTCGCATTGAAAACGATTGAATGCGATACAACAATGGTCGAATAATCCGCTAACAGCTGCGTATGATACAAACACGCAAAGGATCTAGGAACTTTGTTGTGTTTACCAACAATAAAGTAGAAATAATCTCACCTGCCGTCGTATTGAGGGACGCGACCCGTACTTATAAGAGGGCCTAGAGTGACAAGCGATTTTATTTCTATATCAGTTTATGCTTGAGTCTTAAAAAGAAAAATAAAAATCTTTTTTTACACTTACAAAATAAATCACTCTAGCGTCTGTAACTGTAAGAGCAATGCGATGTCGGACTTGTTAATAAATATTAACTAAAGAGTGACTAAATAAATGTGTTGTGATGTTACCCTTAGTTTTTAAAAAAACTGGAAAAAAATTGATAAATTTAGTTTTTTTTATTTAATATATTTGCATGTCTATATATATATATACTAAAAGTTCGAGTCAATTAAATTACTGAAACAAAGTTGATAAAATTTCTATGGAAACAATCTAAAAATATATCCTTTCTTCCTTTTTAAAAGATAATTTTCCAAATTGGTTTATAAATGGCGGAGTTATGGGGGTAACAAATATTAAAAAAAATATAACCTAATTGGGAACCTCTTCCTAGGTTGGTTCCTAGGAAAGGTGGTTGAAAGTGAACCTTATTCTAGTAAAAAAATGAATTCAAATTTTTCTAGTCACGTTTTTTTTTGTATTTGATAGACACACTTATTTGTGATGGGCAAAAGAAACAAGTTCTTTGTTCATCTTTATGATTTTTTTTGCAATTTATTGGGTTAAATCTCCTGTTGGTTTTTTGTTAATTTTGTAACGATTGAAGCTGCCAATATTGCCTATGGACCGTCTGCAACACCAGAGATGTCATGTGTTTGTTGCCGACACTAAAGAAACCTTAGTCTTTTTGAATAACCCTATAAATAATATAGTTTCTAGTGAAAACCTCGGCAGGGAGCTCATTTCACATAGCCTGAGCGTTCACGGGGGGGGGGGGGCACCCCTCTGAAACCGTACTGTACGGGCACTATTGAGGTTCTAGCATGTGAGGATGAATGTCCTGTCGATGGCGAGCGGTGCAATGATAAAAGATGACTGTTGGAATTATTTAGACATTTTATACATAAGGGCTCGATACCGCGTGTGAGTTTGGGGTCGTCGACAATTCTCATAGCTTGTCTTTGAACTGAGTCCTATATGTTTTTTGAAAATAGTTGAAAAGAAATGTAGTAAAGATATAAAATGATAGCTCAATTTTAACGAATAAAATATATTTCAGAAACGTTATTAAGCTTTAAGTAGTTCAGAGGATCTTTCTGTGAAGTCTATATATACCTATTTATTAAAACGGTGTATTTTGTTCTTTATGTTGAGAATTTTATCAGCTTGTTACATATGAATAAAATATAGGCATCTTGTATGATTTTAATATTCGGTTTTTACATATGAAATTGGCGTTTTGTACTGGAGCAATATAAAGTGATTTTTTTTTGAAAATATATTTAATTAAAGTATGCACCGTTGTTAACTATGCACTTTT